TTTTCCATTGGCAGCATGTCAGAGGTCAGTATCATATGGCAAAAGGATGTGCTGAGGAGTAAAGTGAGCAGGTAGAGTGTCACAGAATGAGGTCCACCTGAGCCCCCTTTGAGTGATGGGAGGTAGTGAACCTCTCTAAACAAACCCTCCTGTCTCCTGATCTTCTGTATGTAAGAACAAACTGAAGTAAAATCAAATTTATTAAAGAACATTAGAAATTCTTTATCCATCCTTAGCCTAGGTAGGTGACTGTATAAGCTGTTTGGTTATTTTATAAATTCTTTTTTTTAATTTGGATAAAATACTCTAAATGGTATAACAGATAAATTATTTTGATAAAGACACAAGACTGATTTTATATTTTCATATCACAAGTTACTCCAACTGAAAATACGGAACTCTTAAAAAGGTGTATTTTTGTCATTAACAAGACTCTTATGGGAAGATATAAACAAGAGTTTTGTATTTCAGTATCACTTCTTTACAGTCACTGAAAAACATATCTAACACACAGTAGTCAATAATTTCTTGGGCATCAGATTCTGGAAGGTAGTTCATGGCTGACTCTAGAATTTAATTGGAGATTGGATGGTGGAGTGAATGAGGTCTTTATGTAAATGTAGGTGTAGTGCCTAAAATGACAAGGAGATAGCTAAGAACATCAGTGTAATACATTTCTATTGTCTCCTTCTAGGGTCACCATGTAATATCCTTAGTTCTCTGTCTTTGGCTGTGTAGCACAGAATGAGTCAGGCTAGGTTTATATGAGTTATTCACAAAGATTTGGTGACTTACATCGAACATGCATTCATTGGTAATTTTTAACATTTCAAGTTGTTGAAAAATCTATAAAACAAGTGCCTTTGCCCTGTAAGAGCTAACTATCTTGATGGTGAATGAGGCAAGGGAACAGTTATGACACAGTATGTAGATGTAGAAGAGTTGAGAAGGGCTTTCCATGGGAGCATGTGGCAGCTCATGAGGGCCAGCTAGTCCAAGCAAAGAGCCCTGTAAACTGATAAGGCTGGTGTCATTCTGTCCTGGAGATTCTCTAGGGCAGCTAATCCTTACCGCAGGGCCTGAATCCACACACTCAGTGAATCTGTCTCAGGGGTTCTGCAGAATTTCTGGAATTGGACCCAGAATTTTCTGTTCTTTCTTTATCAGATTCTCAAATGTTTCCATGACCTTGAAAGATGTTATCACCTTTTGCAGAGAACACAGGAGTTCTGTTGGAAGTCTGGCTACTACTGTGTGGTTGAGAAATCTCCTTGCCTGTGTAGATATGAGAGCAAAGATGAATTCATGGAGAATAATTTTGCCCAAATTCTCCCTAATGTGTTAACATAGGTCTTAAGACAAAATGCTATCTCAATGCCAAGGTTGTACTGCATAGAACACATATACTCAACATTTCTAGAAAACCGAATAGAAGTAAACATAATTAAAATTATAAGGCTTTCTCCTTACCCTTAATGCTATCTGCTCTCTTACCCCAAGGTAACCACTCCTTGCTGGTTCTTGTTAAATATTTCTAGGAAAAAATATGAATTCCCTTCCAATGTATATGTATTTTATATTGACTCCAAAGGGATCAAGTTGTGCACACCATTCTGCCCGTGCCTTTCTTCTTTATCTCTGAATAACCAGTACATCATGGAGATCATTTTGTGTCAGCATGGGCTAGTCTAGTCGTCCTAAGGGTGGCTGGGGAGGTCTTCACCTGTGGGGCACTCCTGCCCCTGCTTGGTACTTCTTATGGTTGCTTCCAAATGTCCATTTATAAACCACAGTGCCCTTCATATCTGTACCCATCTACTTTAAAGGATTTTGTAAGCACTTTCCTAGGTTAATTTCACAGCATAGAGTCACTGGGTTAAAGGGTATGTGCACTCACAATTTTGGCAGATGTACCAAATTGCCTTTCTGTTTAACCAGTACATCTTCATCCATGGTGGATGAGAATGCCTATTTCTCCACACAGTTTGTGTTATCAAACATCATAATTTACACCAACATGATTGCTAAAAATATTCTGTCCCAGCTACTTTGATTCGTATGTCTTTATTTATGAATAAGGTTGTATATTTTATATATTTATTCTTTGTGTTTTCTGTTTTTGTGTGTGAATTTCCCATTTTTCCATTGAATGTCGTTTCCAGCTAAATTAATATAAACCCTTTGTCAATTAAGGAAATAAGCCCTTATGAAACTGTGTGTTGCCAGTGTTTTCCCTGATTTAACATTTGTCTTTTGCCTTTGTTTACAGTATTTTGAGGCATATGTTAAAAAGTATATTTATTTAAGTTTATCAATACCCAGGAAATGTGTTGAGAGTTAGACTAGATGGCAAGATCCCTCCGAGATTAAAGAAGAGTCTATAAACACAGCACTCACAACCACAAAACTTTAAAATATGAGCACCCAAGAGGTGAGTGTTTGCTGCATTTGGCGGATAAGTGAGTCTGTTCTCTGGACCTTTCTAATGCTTTTCTTATCTCTCCTTTAAGGTCCTCTAATCTGTATTGCAGCAGTTCAATAGTTAATGCTATATTCAAGATAGGATTTTAAAAACATCCTGTGGCTGTTATAAAAATACTATGGTTTACTACCTTGATAGAGTGTTTAAAATTCAGGCTATAGCACAATGCCTTATACTCGACATTGTATCGGATGAGTCTCCAAGTGTTAAAGATAGAAGGCAAATAATTGAGGAAAGGATGAGCCTCAAGGACTTGGAGCTCAAGGACTAAGATTTCTTCAGGAGGTGGAAAAGAAAATAAGCAATTTGGATGAAGACTTATTAAATTACTTTGAGATGGAAATAATTTATGACACAGTTTTAAACTGTTTTTGTAAAACACGGACCATCACACTTGTAAGCTTTTATAACTACAAAGCTTAAGCTTTTAAGGACAGTCTTCTAAATTACATAGCTTCTTAAAACCTGGGTGTGCATATGAATCACCAATGATCTTGTTAAAATGCAGATTTTCATTTGGTGGGGGGCCAGGACAGGACTGAGACTCTGTGTTTCCTATAAGCTGCCTGACCTAACAGCAACCAGGTTCTACAACACACAAAGCTCTTGAAATCCTACTCACCCGCCTGTACTACCTCCCCCGCTACCCCCGTGTATTCTCTCCTGACTTCTTTCTCCTCTTTCCTCCCTTCTCTTTCTCTTGGCATAGGATCAGAGAGTATTTATGTGTGTGCCTACACATGCTTTATATATGTCTTTATTTTCCTGCTTCCTAAAACATTGATTAAGAAATAGACCATTTTAATAGAAACCGCGATGCATTTCATGAAATACCATTGAGTACAAAAGTAAAACATTGACAAATTGATACTTTCTTGCTTTATCACGCTTGATTTAAGGAAATGAACCCAAAATGGGCTATGTGAATTGGAAATTGAGTTCAGCCACATTTAAATCATTCTCTTTTAAAATATTGGCAGTTGAGTGTGTAAGCCAATATTTATTTTCTAATCAAAGGTTTGTGGCAAATGGTTTATAAGGGAAAGAAATGAAGGAAGAATGCTTCAAAAATACTTCTAGTAAGAGAATTGGAAATAGGATATCTTATTTCTTTAAATACCAGATACAGACCACTAAAATCCTTCCTGCTCTGGGAAGAGGCAATGGTAGGCAAAACTGACCATCCTATGAAAGTGCAAGGCCAGCTCCTCTCCACCAGACATTACCATAAATATTTTTCTGTGGAAATAAGTTGAAGATCCTGCTACATTAGGGGAGAACCTATTAACAGAATGATTGTAGAGAGGAACCTTTAAGAAAAGCTTCCAAAATTCCATTATCTGAACTGTCACTTGCCACTTGGATTTGTCTTGGCACTATGTGTTTTCATGAATTACCCGAGCTGTTTGTTTTTCCTTTATCAGTCATCACCCTGTCAGCTGGGCCATTCATAACAACTTTTGGCAGCTCATCAGGGGAGTTCAGAGCTTGAATAGGACCCTATCAACTCTCACACCTCATTGTGTGAAACTGTTTACCAGCACTGCCTTTTTCTGTAAATATAACAAGCAGAGTCCTGAAAGGAAAGATGTGTGAAAACAAAATGGCCTAACCTAGTAGCAGCTGCCTGAGACAGCAGATCTGGGTTGACATGATTTACAAGTCCTGCGTTTCTCTTCCTCAGCTTAATCATACCTAGTCTCTGGCCTTAAAGTTCATGCATGCTGGTTAATTAGACAGCATTTAATTTGACTTCATATTTGTGTCAGTTGGATGGAAGTGAGACTTTGTAATTAGGAAGTACAGATCTGTTTCTGTCACAATTCAGCTCCCTCACCCTAATTTAATCCTCACATCTACAATATTTTCTTCCAGTAACAAGGTGGCCCATGTGACACAACCACCAACAAGTGACTCTGTCCCTGGACAGAGTTTCTGCCAGATTCACCCATCAGAAATAATTTTCTATTTGAAGTGAATGTCAATAATCCTCTACTGATGCTAATATCATCAGCCTGCAAATGGTACACATTTCTCTAAGCCTTTATTTTTATCAGTTACATAGGCACAGAGTTTTAAGAGCCAAACAGTTCTAGTTTTATGGGGGAAAATAACAGTCTAACCAGTTTTCCCTCCCTGGAGAAAACCACTTTCAGCTCTGTGGCAGATTATTTAGAAAATAATTTCGCAGTAAGAAATATATTGATTCACTTTGCCTTCTTTGTGTGTGGTGCTGAGAATGAAATTCACTTTGTCTATTTTGGAATGTTATGTAACGTAGAAAGTATTGCAACTTGCTTCTTTCACTTACCAGTGGGAATTTTTATAACTGTTTTTAAATTAAAGGTATCCTTTACATATAGTGGAATGTACAATTATATTAAATATACAATACAGTGAGTTGTAGTACAATAGTCTCCATTTTCTGAACTTTTGCTTTTCACTGTTTAAATACTGACCTTCAACTGTGGTCCAAAAATATTAAATGGAAAATTCTAGAACTAAACAATTTATAAATTTTAAATAGCTTCTATTATAGTATATTGTTATAATTTTTCTATTTTACTAGTAGTTACTATCATTAATCTCTCACTGTGCCTGTTTAATAAATTAAACTTTATTGTAGGTATGTATGTACAGGCATAAGCAGGTCAGATATCCATTTAAACTCTTAGCTTATATCCCCCATACGTAAGCAGGGCTACTGGACTTGAATACATCCATATAACTGACCACCAACCAAGATAGGGCATATTTCCATCACTTCAAAAAGTTCACTCTTGTACTTTTTAGTTGGTCCCCCTTCATGAGTCCCTTGTCATCACAGGTAAGATTTAAGCATCTTTTACATGGAACCATAGAGGAACTACTATTATGTGTTTGGCTTCATTTGCTTCTTTCTTTCTAACTTGTATGCCTTTATTATTTTTTTCTTACATTATTGAGTTAGCTAGGACTTTCAGCATGTTAAATAGAGACAGAGAAGACATCTTGTTTCTGAACTCAAAAAAAAAGCATTCAGTATGGTATTTCACCATTAAATATGAGTAAAGTCATTGGGGCTTGGAGTTTTCTCTTTTTTTGAAACATTTTAAGATTATGAATTTAATTTTGAGAATTAATGTAAAGTTATTTGGATTTTTCTGTTGTCTCTTGATAACTTTGATAAGATATATTTTTTAGGAATTTATCCATCTGTACTAAGCTGTTGAGTTTAGAGGCATAAAATTAATTACCCTGTCTTCTTAGAGAATTACATGCTTTAATACATTGTAATAGCCTCTTCCACTGGTAGTTTTTCTTGTCTGACTTTGATATAAATAAAGTTGCTTCAACTTTTTCTTAATTTGTGACTGCATGGTATAATTTTTTCCATCCTTGTAAACTATTTATATCTTTATATTTAAAGTAGGTTTTGTAGACAGTAGTATTTGGGTCGTCCTTTACATAATAGTCTAACAGTCGCTATCTTTTTATTAGTGTGATTTACATTTAATTTGGTTGTTATGATCAAATTAAAATCTCCCATCTAACTAGCTGCTTTCTACATGTCCTATTTGTTCTTTTTTCCTTTGTTTAGCCCCCTTTTTGATTGAAATTTTTTTTAATGAGGCAGTGTTACCTCTGCTATTAGATTACTATATATACTATTTTAAACAAATTTAGGAGTTGCCTTAGAATTTTACCATGCACATCTTATTTGATGAAAGTCTACTTTCAAATATTATTTTGCTTAATACTAATTTAAGAACAGTAGATTACCAATTCCTCACTTCCATTCTTGCCCTATTGTTGTCAAATATTTGCTCTTAATATATATTAAGAATATATAAAACTACTATGTTTTCTTTAGATAGCTATCTTTCAGAGCAACTAGATATAAAAGGTAAGTTTAATGTTTATTTTAATTATTCTATTCCCAGTGCTTTTAATTTCTTTATACGGATTCAAGTTCTCATCTGCTATTATATTCCTTCTTTCCAAAGAACCTTAACATTTCTAATAGCATGGGTCTCCTGGCAGTGGGTTCTCTCGGATTTGTTGTTGCTATTGTTTTCTGCTTTGGGCCTGAGAAAGTCAGTATTTTTCCTTCTTTTTTGAAAAGTATTTTTGCTGGATTTTAAAATCTGGATTATCAGGTTGTCTTATTCCATTTCTGTTGCTCTAAGAGAATACCAGCCACTAAGCGATTTATAAAAAGAGGGGTATGTTTTGGCTCATGGTTCTAGAGGCTGGGAAGTCCACTACTGGGCCAGTGCATCTGGTAAGGGTCTTGTGCTGCTTTACGGTAAAAAGCCAAAGTGCGAGCAGGCACCTGAGGAAGAAAGGTAACATAAGAGGCAGTCTTCTCTCACAATAGCTAATCCAATTCTGCAAGACTCTGGGAGCTTACTTTCTCCTGCAAGATATCATTACCCCATTCCTAAGGGCTCTATGCCCATATCTCAGATACCTCCCACTAGGCCCCATCTCCCATATTGTCAGGGACTGAGCCCCAGCATGAATTGAGGGGACAAATCATGTTCAAAACATAGCACAAATTCTTGCTGTTCAGCAACAAAGACAACATTCAAATAACTTCTGGCTTGCATAGTTTCTGATAAGAAATATACTCTATTTCTTACATTTAGCTTTTAATTTCTCTGTATGAAATGTGTCTTTTCTCTACTGGCTGTCTTCTCAATTTTCTCTTTGCCTCTAGTTTTATGTGATATGATCATAGTCTGGGGGATCCTTAGAGAGGAGGAATTTATTTTACTCAATGTTCCTTAAGTATCTGGGAACTGTGATTTGGTATCTATCATTAATTTTAGAAAGTACTTATATATTATTTCTGATCTTTCCTGCCTGTGATGCCAGGTATAGCTTATAGGTTGGATCTATTGTTATTGCCCACATATCTCTTAGGTGCTCTATTGTATCTGGCCCCAAAACACACAATCTAACCTCCATTGTTCTGTAATCAGCACCAGAACTGTCCTAGATCCAGGTTCTACGTATGTGAGAGTCATACCAAAGAAATTTTGTTGCTGTTTTCTTCTCCTCTCTTATTCTCCAAATTCTGTGGGTATACCCTTTATACGTTTTTCCCTCACTGTGTTTTAGTGATCTTTGAAGGAAGTAAACATGAGTGTGTTTGTGGAATCTGCCATGTTTATCTGAAAGTCAAAGTTGAATTTAATTTAAGTCAGCATAGTGATTATAAGGATTAAATTTCCTGATGTCTTTGAGATAAATTAATCTATTGTATCTTGTTTCTAATTTTAAACAAAAGTTTCATACCTAGAAATAAGAGTTACAGAGTCACAAATAAGAATAGCTAACATTACCCTATATTATTATGTGCCAGTGTTGTAAATGCTGTTCTTGTATTAATTAAATTATTGCAGCAATTTCTCTATATAAACACCCTTATTATCTTAATTTTTAGAGATGATAGTAAACTGAGTCACAGAAAGATTAATTTGTCCAAAGATACAGAAACAGAAAGTGACAGAACCTGGCATCTTAACCACTATATTTCAACTGCCTCCAACATTTGGAAGGTAATGGTTTTAGGTAATTTCTTTGCTTTGTATCTGCAATCCTTCATGTGTTACCAGTACTTCTCCAATAATCTTAATGTGTTAAGTAGTAAGTACATATTTAGCTCTGTTATGTGGCCAGAACTGTTTTGTTCACTCTGGAGGTATAAGGAAATTTAGCAGAGCTATTTCTTTTTTAGAGTTTACACTTTCCAAAGAAAATCCCTCAGAAATCTGAAAATAAATGTTATAGTGCAGGGTGGTATCACTACTCAGGAAAAGGAAAGCTGAGTTTGATCTGGATGCCCAGAAACAGTGGAAAACAAAAATTCAAGAGTTCTGTCAGTCTCTGGATTGCTCATGCTGCTTTTTCACCTCTCTCTGTACTTCTGTTTTGTTTTGTTTTGTTTTGTTGGTACCGGGGATCAAACTTGGGTCCTTGCGCTTGCGCGGCAGGCAGCAAAACCACTGAGCTAAATCCCTGGCCCTGTACTTCTGTTTTTGCAACCTAGTTCTTAGCTGTGATACTGTTGATACTTCTACAAAACAGAGTAAGAAAGTTGTTTTAAGCTCAAAAGGTCTTTCTAAAAGTTTAGAGTTCGTAGGCTCAAATTCTTACTAAAACTCTAGGAAAATATCCTAGTTATTTTATTCTAGTTATTTTCTTTCTCCATTGAAATGGTTAACTAAAAATTAGCATGCATTCGTATTAGGCATTCCCTAGTATTTCTGGAACATCTGTGAGTCAACAGAGGGTTTATAAATGCAATTTTATCTTTAGATTGGTTAGCATAGTGTCTGACTCCTAATAGGCATCTCCCAAATATTTATCCTCACTGACAGTGAGTGAAATTAAAGGAACACTTAGATGAATCTTTTTATAAGCAATAAATCCTCATGGGTTTGTATTTTAATTTGAAGAACAGTGCACATCAACATATCCTAAGAGGGAAGTTGTCATCAATTTGATTTATTATCCTTGGCTAAGAGCTATGCAGAATCAAGAAACTGGACCTATTCATAGCTGAGACTATGTCTTCCCCAGTGCAGTACCTGGATGGAAAAATGGATCAGTTGGAGTCTAGATTGATGCAAAAGGAATTCGAGGTGCTATTTAACATTCTATCTTAAAACCAGATTCTCATTAAAACCAATAGTAACTAAAGAGTAGTTATTCAGGAAAAACGTGATAATGTAATGGTCAGACTTTGTACTTTGCAGACTTAGGATCAGGTCCCTTCCTTGCCATTTTCTAACTAGATGTGTCTAGCTTAAGAAAGTTGCCTCATTTCTCTAGGTCTCAATTTCCCAGTCTTCAAAATATTCCATATCAAGAATTTATCTCATGACCAACTTCAGTAAGTGCTAGTTAATAATGATGAATAATTATTGCTGTACAGAGACTTCACAGTTGAGACTGATCTATTAAATATTTTAATAAAAATGCAGAAACCTAATGAGAGGTGTCTATATGCTTACTAGATTTCTCTTTCCTTGCTTTAGGAATTTGGAGTGACATGTTTGACAGTATGGCTTTGTGGAAAGAGAAGGGAAGAGGACTAGAAGTCCTTCCCACTTTTAGGAAAATGCTCTCCACCAGGGATGTGTGCTAACAGGATGGCCAGGACCCATCCTATCTGCTGATGAGGAAAACAGATGGAGACAGTAGTTTATGACAGTAACGCGTTCTCATCTGTCAGGTGTCTGCTTGCTGATATCCTCTAAAGATATGGTGTTCAGCAATTCCTAGAAATGGTAACAACAATAGCACTTATATATAGCTCCTTTTACCATTTTCATAGGACTTCCACATGCACTATCTATTCTAATTTTCACCACAATGTTGTGAGAAACCAGAAGTACATTTTATCATTCCTATTTTATAGATGAGTATACATATTTTGAGAAGTGAAATATGATGCCCAAGGTTACTTGAGTACTCACTAATCAACCCGGGGCTTGAACCTAAGTCGTAACTCTGGATTCATTACTCTTTTTAATGTTTTCAATAAACTCAGAAATGTTTTTGTTCTACCGAATTTATTTATTTTTATTATCAAGTGTGCTTGGGTGCATGCAGGCTAGACTTTTAAAAATCTGTGCTTATAAGATAATTTCTTACTCAGCTAAAGTAGCTAACAGAGCCAGCCTGATTTTTAAACCTTTTGTGTCTTTTTGGTCCAACAGGGAACAATGTTTGTGATGCTGCTACAGTAGACCTTTGATGATGTCAATAAGGAGACATCCCCACTTTCTTTGGTTAAAAGTCTCAGAGACTTTAAGGATCGCTGCCTGCCAAGAAGAAAGCATGGTGAACCACAAGCTGTTGCTATTTCACTGAACCACTCCACAGATGGTCCATGGCTGCTGAGCAGAGTGAACCTCAGGATAGACTGCACTGGTCCCCGACAAGGCCACCCTCACCAGCAGATGAGGTGTTAATGGATTATTCCTGGTAATGGGTTTCCCTTCGTCTCTTTATTAAATTCCAAGCTGTTACCTAGACTACATCCCACTATATCTAATTAATGTACTAATCAACTTTGTTTTGAATGGAAATGAAGAAAATCTGTTGATACTCCTGCTGGCAGAATAAGAAATATGCCTACTGTGGAGTATCTTTTTCCATTATGAAGAAAATTTAATCTCTGTCATCCTCAAAAGTGAAAAATTATTTTGTAGTTGGATTCCTGCTTGTATGGCTTGGGGTTATCCTAGTTTCCAAGTGACTATTTGTTTCAGAAAGATTCTCTCCAGAAGCCATTCATAAGGCTGTTAAATTCTTTAATAAAGAATTGGAAGCCAAATTAACTAGGCTAGAAACACGGATAATCAGTTGGCAGTAGACTGATGTCCAGCCCCCTGAATTTTTAACTGCTGCAGAACTGAGTGACCCAGCTGTGGGTCCCACTCCAAGTCTTCCAATCTGAGAGCAGCCACCATGCCATCATCTCACTCTGTCCTCCAGTTGTCTTGTGTATCTCCCAGCATCCATATGTGTGATCCCTCCACACAGCGATGCCCTCTGATGACATATTGAGCATGACAGCCATGAGAGCCATGAGCATGTCCCAGCCACTGTGCTATACCTTTAAATCTTCTGTTCCAATGACAACCATTTGAAAATGGGAAGAATAATCCCATTTTTCACATTTCAAAATAAGACTTTGGATAGATTATGTATCTTGTCTGTAGCCACACAGCTACTAATTGGTGAAGTAAGGATTTTTGTCCACTTCCTACCCAAACCCCAGCCATCAACTCTGTCATCTCTATTAAGATTCTGGCTTCCCTAAATAAATACATGAAAAAATGTTCAACATCACTGGTCATTCGAGAGATGCAAATGAAAACAAAGCTGAGATTCCACCTCACCCTGGAAAGAATGGCTGCTATCATGAAATCAACCAATAACACATGCTGGCAGGGCTGTGGGGAAAGAGGAACCCTGCTCCACTGCTGGTAGGAGTGTAGACTGGTGCAACCACTGTGGAAATCAGTATGGAGATACCTCAAAGAACTAGGACTGGAAGTCCCATTCAACCCAGGTATTCCCCTGCTGGGGATCTACCACAAAGAATTAAAAGAATCATACCACAGTGATATATGTGCACCCATGTTCATAGCAGCACAGTTTGTAATAGCTAAAACTTGGAAACAGCCCAAATGCCCATCAACTGGAGATTGGATAAAGAAAATGTGGGTTTTTTTTTATAAAATGGAGTATTACTCAGCCATAAAAAATGAGAAATTAGAGACATTTATAGCTAAGTGAATGCACATTGAGGCGATACTCTTAAGTGAAATAAATAGGACACACATGTATAAATTCCGAATAGTTTCTCTGGTGTGAGAAACTGAAAGTGTAAATAAGGACTAAATGTATAATAGGTCATGTGAAATAGAAAGAAAAGGGGCAAAGGGGAAGGAAGTGGGAGGACTAGGGGAAAGGATAGAAGGGAATGGGATTAATATGAGAAAATGGAAAAATAGGAACAAAATCTTTGTAAATAGGGAGGACTGGAGGGGTTGAAGGGAGGGCTGGGCAAGGGTGAAAAACAAGAACCAAGAGAGACTATGTAAAGGTCCACATTTCCAATGATGAATGTCATTACATTGTATACCTAAAATGTACCAATGATTAGAATGAATAATCGATAATGTAAAATAGGAAGAAAAGATCCAAAGGGGTAGGGGTAGTGGGAGGGGCAGGGGAAAGGAAAGAAGGGAAAGGAAAAATGCTGAGAAATGGAAAAAATGGAAATAAAGTCTTTGTAAATAGGGAAGGGTGGAGGGCGTGAAGGGAGGGCTAGGAATGGGGAAAAAATAAGAACCAAGATGCATTATGTAAAGGTACAATTCCCAATGAGAAATGTAATTGTGTTGTATACCTACAATGTACCAATAAAAGAATTTAATTAAAAAAAAAAGAAAGAAACATATACCCTAATTGAAAAGAATAATCCAAAAAAAAAAAAAAAGATTCTGGCTTCCCTGAAGCAACTGTTACAGGCTGGAAGACATGGGCCACAGACAACTTTTAAATATGAAATGATAATTCTTTGCCTACTGAGATTCTTTTTTTAAAAAAATCCACAGGAAGAGTGCATTTATATATTTATTTAACATTTATGTGCAATGTCTACATTTACAAAGTGTTTTACAGTGTAATAGAATGGGCACAAATTTTTTATCTGGGCACATAATTGTCTTTTCTTTCATATTCATTTGTTCCTTTGATTTAATGTGTTTTCCATTTGGTCTTCGGAGATCATGTACAATGGTGACAAATTTAGAATAATAATAAAAGATTATTTTATATCACTCATAAGGAAAACTGATTAAAGCCATGCATGTCTCTACTCTGTATAAATATTATGCAAGAAAGCATTATATTGTTCCCAGAATATTGCCTGTAACATTAGCTGTACTAAATTTAAAAATATACTTACCTCTCCATTGTCATTTTGTGTGTGGTATTTACTTTCTTCTTTCCAGGCAGTTGGGATGCTCGATCTTTGGGGTAATAAACTCCTGTGAGCCTCCCTGATACTCTACTGCTTTCTCTGTTGATCATGGGGCACAGATCCTTTGCAGAGCATTCACACTGGTGATTCACTCCTTCCTGGGAAAGCTATGCCCAGATGGTCACAGGCTGCTGTACCTTCCTCAGAAGATCCCAAAGAACTTCCCTGCCCCATGTGTCCTAGCATTTTCTCTCTTCTCTGTTCCTCAGCAGGGAATATGTTGTATTAAAAACCCTAGAGTTTCAGATTTGGTGAGAAAATATTTTAAAATATATTGGAAAACCAATATTTTGTCATTTTCAAGTTGCATGATAGGTTTTTTAATGCACCTCTTAAAGGACATCTTTAGTGTAAAGTATTTTCAAGGTGTGTGGTTCACGTCCTGTCTTGTCAGGGGTTCGGATTATTACCACAGCGGGGCATGCAAACTATGGCCAGGGGGAAGGACCTCTATTTAGTCACTTTCTGGATCCCAGATGACTGTGTGTATAATCAGTAAATTAAAAGTTACTCTCAAAACTTATTTTCATCATTCATTTTTTTCTTTAAACATTACAGTGGGGCATCTACCTAAACTGTGGTTTAGAAGAGGAAGTGTGGAAGAAGGCTCAGGGTAGTCAAGTGCTGCTCAACTCAGGCTGCACATTATTAGTAATCCTACCAGTGGGGTCAACTGAATCAAAATCTTAGTGGGTGGAGCCCGGGCACTGGCACTAGTTTTTAAATGTGGTGAATTATCAGATATGCAGCCAGAAATGAGATCCAGGGCATCAGAGGCTCCTAGATGCCCACTCCTAAGAAACATGAGTGCCCCACGTAGCAGATGATAGCCCCTTCCAGGCCCGAGTCATCTGAGTCTCACCCAGCTCCAACTGAACTTAGAGCTCAGCATCTCCCCCTCCTCCTGTCGATGTTTCTGAAATGTCTCACTATCTTTCACACAGCAACCAAAGAGCCTAGTGCTGCCACCAGGAGACCTCTCCTGTCTCTGTTTCCTGTTTGTCCTTCAGCTGCCTTCCAGGGAACTTTGGCTTGCACTTCAGCCTACTTATCTAGTGTCTGGCTACTGTGGCTTAGCTCGTGCCCTCTCTTCACAGATTCAAGGCCTTGTCCCCCATACCCTGAGCCACCAGCAGGGGCGCTGCTTCAAGCAGGTTGAACCACCCAAGACTCACAGTGGAGTCTCCTCCCAAGTCCCTGAAGCCTGGAAACTCCCGCTGCTGTCAACTCCCCTGAGAGGCCAGTCTCTTTGAACATGGGGCCCTCCCCGAAGCATTTGTTCACTTTTTTGATTCATAGAGAAATCAACCCCACCTCTTTTTCGAGAGGCCATGCAAAGCCTCATGGGGCCTGAATGCAGAGAAGGGGTGAAAAATGGAGGCCATTAATGCAATCAGTCAACCACAGATGGGAAGCAAATAAAGGAGATGATGAAGCATTTCTGGGAAAGAAGGAAAAATAGTGGGAACATCAACTAGACAGGGAGTTTCTTTGAAGTGAAAATACTGTGTGTCTGGTGACAAAATAACAATCATGTTGCCGTGAAACATCCAGAAACTTGACAACTTGTGAAAGGTGTAAGAAATTACTTAAAGTTAATAACTGAAACTTCACAGTGCTGCTCACAAGACTAAAGTAGGGAAGGGGACAGGCTTGGTTTGGTGCTGGCAAAGGTTAGTGGATCCTATGCAGAGTTGCATCCCCTCAGGGTGGGTTGCTTTGCTGCAAGTGCTGGGACTATGGGAAGCCTTCCTAGACTTATTGGCACCAGTACACTAGAATTTTTACTCACCAATTTGTTTCAGGGACAGGAGCTGATCTCCTCCTCTTCAGGCACCTGGGTAGATTGCATCTTTGAAAGGTAGATGAAAGTGTCACATAGTACCTCCTCATTGAAGCAATTAAGAGCAGTGCCTCTATTTTGATGCTTTTCTTTCCTTCCTATAGACCACATATTGAGATAGTGACATTAAAAGGTGGAGGAACCTTGGGTCCCTCAGTGACTACAAACAGCACAGTCATCTGCTAGCCCTTACTGGATGTGGAACATGAAAGAAACGTTAAGCCACTGACCACCAGGGTTTGTTTTAAACTACAGCAGAGTCTGGTCTATCCTGAGGTCTTTGACCATAACTGTGCCTCAGTGAAACCCTCTGTAATTCTCATTTGCAACCTGGTAGATGGAAGCAATTTTTCCTTTCATCACTGAGGGTAAAAGTTTTGGCATTACCTTCTTACACTATATAATATATGCACACACTCATATACTAGGATTATACTTCCTGAAGTCTAAGCAGGTAGACATAAGGAGATGGAGGATGAAAGATAACACATATTTGTTCACTTCCTATTCTATACTAGGCACTGGGCTAGAGGTTGTGCATGTAATCAACCTTGAACAATAAGGTCAGAGGAGTTTGATTTTTATACTACAGAAAAGGAGGCAGAATTCAAATGAGGTTAAATTCTTTTCCTGCATACCTAGTAATATCACAACTGGCACCTGAACTCAAATTTTTCTGCCTTCACAACCATGTTCTTTCCTGTAACACAAACATACATACAAAGAATGAGCTTTTAACCCTTTCTAACTTGTTAGTATCTTCTGCCTAGCCCCAATCCCTTTAGAAAACATTTTAGATAAATCTACCCACTATTCAAAGTTATTATTGTTATAATGATTTTGCTCTTTCATTTTACCAAGATTTGTTTTTACTGACCTTTGACACATGAGGTGCTACAAATCTGTGCATTTATTTAAATTCCAACCAAACACCCTCATGCTTGTTTGAAGTCAGAATACCATCGCCAGGATCTCTGAAAATATTTCCACCCTGCCTATAGGCTTTAAAAAGTGTGAGGCTTTCCCTGTATGATGGTGATGTTAGAGGGAAATAAAATGAGAAGTAATGGCAACAGGTTTATTAATGAACAAGGGGAGATTGAAAGCCATATTGAATTCACAGAGGCCCTTTGGTTCCTAAGATATTTTCAACTGCCATTGCCATACTATTTGGAACCTTGTGAAGCCTCACTTTGAGAAAAGCCTCAATGACTCTCAGGGCCTCAGTAAAACAAGATAAGATTACAATGCAAATTTAGGACTCATCCTTCTACCTGCACATGGGATAAGTCACCTGGCTTTAGAGTGCAGCTGGGCCACTGTGCTCAGAGAGGGTGCAGGGCGTGCCATGCCTGTGCTTGCAGTCTCTGACTCAAGACATGACTTCTCAATGGAGAGCCGAGGCTGTTCTCGAGTGTAACAATATTAATTATCAAGTCACTTTAAAACACATGTGATGTATGTGTGCATTTATTTCACAGGAATGGTATAAAGATTAAATACTTAATGAATCCATTTTTCATATCAGGGATATATTTTCCCTACACCCAAATATATCTCTCCCTCCTGTTTCTCATGAGAAATATAGCTATCT